AATAACAGCACATTTGAGCAATGCAATTGTAGTGGATAAAATGGTCAATTTTTCCGTGCAGTACTGTACGGATTATACGCTCCTCACCGGTTAAGAGTTTGGCCGAGAGTTGTCTCCTTCCTATTCTGGCCTAGTGCTGTTCTTTTCTACATTGCGCCGGTCAAACTGAAGGTCACATCGCTACAGAAAGTAAACGAAGTTTACATAGGTAAAATCTTTTTCAGATTTTTAGTTTGAACTATTTTCTTTTCTTTTCTTATTGTAGCATTTATCTTTGGAGACAATCTTAGTATTAAATTTACTACGCACTTTTACTGTTTACCTAAAAAAGATTTTCAAAAGATCTGTAATTTTTTAATACAATTACAGTACTTGATTAACGTAGTATGAATTGTTGAGAGATTTGTGAGTAGATATATAAAGTCAAGCAAACGGCGACTTGACAGACTCTCCTTTGACCCTTTTTCACCTTTCGTATTAATATTTTCTCCATACATTGTTAAGGTATTGCAATGCCAAGTTTTTCATAAGTAATATTAATTTTATTGTTCAAGGGTTTTCAATTAATTTTTTGTAACATTTGATTTGATATTTATCATTCTTTTGTATTGATTTAATTGGCCCGGTTAAGGTATTTCTTTAGAGTAGGAGCTCGAAAAGGATCGGTCACTCCTCATCAGAGTCCTCGAGGTGATGACCTTGGAAGACTTTCCGATCGTCAGTTGGGCGATTCCATAAAATGACTCCCATGCGTTAATTGGGTGATATTCAGGCAGTTTACCTTTCCCAGATACTAAAGCACGTGCTGCTAGCTATCTGAATTCAATTTCATTGGGGGTTTTTTGTTTAACTGCCACCTGAAGAGCCCTGGATTAGCCACTTCAGTGACCTCCAGCCACGTATCGCGGAAAATGTCTCAGCAGTTTTAAGCTTTCTCTTAATCAACAGAATATAGATAGATCTGACTGAGTGTCCTGAGGTAAATTGTTTTTGGTTCTTTATTGCTTTGACAAAGTGGCACTAAGCAAATTTCATTCAAATGATA